CCGCTGTGGGGGATGTGATCTATTCAAGGGAACAACTCGAAACTGAAAAATATATACAACAATTATTTACAAAAATTAACTAAAACTAAGATAGTCATTTACATTTTTAAAAAGTAAGTTGCTTCCAGTTACAAGTTCCACCTCCTTTGCCTATGCAAAACCCATTTGCCATAATCTTCTCAACAGCTCCTGACTCAACTTTCTCATCGACCCAGAATATTAAATAATCCATTGCCCATCATGTTTAAAGATGAAATGCCTTTCTACGGGGGATCACAAATTTAATGTGTGTATATCATTTAAATGGTTATGTGACAGTTTTTTTTACTGCTCCAGTGGTCTTTTGCACATTGAAGCCTCCACAGGCACATGTCAGACTATACATATTACTCCTGGAGTATCACAACTTATGGACCTATAGCACCTGATGAGTCTTCCCTTGGACAACATCAAAGTAACTACAATAGTCACATTTCCCACATTTTGAAACTCTTCTTCCCTCCTGTCCCTGCTGACGATTCACAAAATGACTATGTACTAGCATGTCCTGAATGGACTTTTGGACTCTCTGGACCAAAATCCCTAAGAACCTCATCCTTGGTTAACAAGTGCTGGAATTTCTGACATATTCCATGTTCCCTGTGTGAATCATTTGTATAGTATACATATAATCTATTTGATCTATAATCTATCATTAATCTCTTTTATATACTTCTTGAAGCCATCTTTTTTATATTCTGTTCTGGAGAATCACACCCTTAAAACTCTCACCTCTTCTTCCAATTCCCCCAGTTGGGTACAGTTTCTTTGAGCCCGCTGGTATTGTCCCACTGGTAAACTTTTTGCATGCAACAGGCTGTTGCTGAATGTGGGTTTTCTGACCAGGAACGTAACTTCTTTCTCATCATAGATACTGGTAAACTTCAAATGAAATGGGTTCTTTCGAAAGCATTCCACAAAAGCAATCATTTCCTTCACTTTCCCTGTTCAGAGAATCAATACATCAATGTACCTGTACAAGGCCATTTTACAAAAATCAGTATTTAGCAAGCCCATCGGGTTTTTCTGCATATTAACACCCTTGTGGGTATTTCTGAGAAGTGAATAAACAGAAATAGACTAACAAACTACAATATAGTCTAATATCACTTTCTACAGGTTTACTGCCAAAATGACTATGAATAGACTTACTATGGTATTCCAGTAACTGCACGGTAGGCAGGGTTATCACTACCATGCTGTTGAAATTCCTTGATTCCTCTCAGATTTATAAAGCATGCACTGTATGAAATTATTATTTTTTTCTTTTTTTGTTGTGCATCATTATCATTAGAGAGTAGACAGATGCGGGTGACCTTTGTGGAATGAACTTATAAATTGTTGTTAAAGAGCAAAACCAATTGGTGATCTACTCATTTTCCACTTCAGCATTAATCCAGAAAGCACCAAAGCAGCTCACAGCATCACTGGTATTGTACTTCTTATGCTGTGTATCTCTATCTCTCTCTCTCTCTCTCTCTCTCTCTCTCTTGCTCACTCGCTCTCCCTTTTCTCTGTGTCTCTCAGCCAATTAGAACTTCCAAGGCAGATTTTATTTCATTGGTATCAGTGAGATGCTTAGTGCTGACAGTTTTATTTTAGGGTTTAGTATGGGAGAGGCAGCAAGAGTGGGGGCATTCCAAATCCAACTGACACTAAGGATGGGGCACTATTCCTCCCACTGACACCCGCAATGGAGCACCATTTTTCCCACTGACACCAACAACTGGGCACTATTTCCCCCACTGACACCAAAAATGGGGCGCCATACTTCCCACTGACTATCATGTTACTCCCACTCTCCACAAACTGGTCACAGCTCAACCCTCCAATAGTCTGCTGGACAGTAAGCTGACCCTTTATTTAAAAGGTTTGACCATATCCGGTCAAGTTTGTATGCAGTAAATGTCATATTGTTTAAAGAATCGCATGTGATTTTTAGTGATAACCATTAATAGTAAAATCCACATATTATATTTAGGAAATAACACCATACTGAGCATTTCTGTAACTTTCTCTTTTCTCTCCTTCGTTATCCTGCCTGACACAACCCTTTTCATTATATCGCGTTTCAGCATTTTATTGCTGTCACATGGCTCATGTTTTTTGCCATCAGTCATTTTTTTAAAAATCAGATATGTTTTCTGAATCTGTGGGAGTAAAAAGGTTCTAAAGTTTAGTTCTCACTAAATGTTACTTGCCACCTTTTTAAGTCCAAATGCTTGTAAGGAGCCTCCTTCTGGATTTTGTTTGTCTGTGAAATTATGTTAATCTTTGTATATTTATTTTGTGGGTTGTGCAGACTGTGAATCACTGATTTAATATGTTGATTCTGTATAAATATAAAGTGATAATGATATTGTGTGAACTCTAAACACACACAACGCCGTATGTCTGTGAACATTCCATTGACAGTGGTAGCCAAACACAACAAGGATATTGAAAAGTGAACCTGCTTTGAATACTCGTAGTGCAAGTATAATAGGGCAAAATAGAATTTACAAAGCTCAAGTGTTTACATCGGTCGCCATTCAGTGTTCCAGTTTTCTCTGTGTCTATATGTGTGATAGTGGCAGGGACATTAGATCATAAACTCCTTCAAGGGCATTGTATAAAATAAATGGCTTCTCTATATAGCTGAATGGTGAAAAAATAATAGTTTTAATGCAACTTTTTATTTTTTTAAACTAAAAATTCTAAAACAACTTTCCTGTATGGATGGGTAAATTGTTGCTGTAGATAATCTCCACAGAAATGTAATTTCCTGCTTGTGATTGGTCCACTGCTGTTCCGAGAAGTTTTCTCTTACTACGGCACTGTGACTAATCATGTAACTATAGTAGAAAAGTCTCTAACTTAAGAAGAAGGAAGTGAGTGGAAGCCATGTGTGAATCTCTGTACCATTTGGCACCACATAGGATTGTGTAATGAAGAACATTCCTTGAAATGTTTGTAACTGAAGAAGGAGGGAAAAAACACTGTAAGGCAGCGGTCCCCAAACTGCAGCCCGCTGCTTGCATGTAACCGGCCCTTGGGGTACTATTGCTCTCACTGACACCATAGATGAATCACTTTTCCTTCCTGTAAACCTAAAATGGGGTTCTACTTCTTCCACTGACCTCAACAAAGGATATAATGCCTTCCCCCACTGATCACAGGCACTAGGTAATTTTATACTCTAACTGACCACCAAGCCTGGGAAATTGTGTGTATCCACTGATGTTTGGGCATTTTTTGCTGCTACTGGCCACCATAAGGCCACCCTAAAGTCTTAATGACAATGGACTAGCCCTTTGTTTAGAATGTTTAAGGACCCCTACTCTTAAGAAGTTTTTTCTACCCACAGCTAAGATTTCAGTTGGTGGTATATACTGGTGGGTTTGTTCACCCCTGGCACCTGCTAATCTACATATTGGAGCTCCTGGCTCTGCTTCCTGCACTATGTAGTGTTAATTTTAGGGTGTCCATACCCTGTGCAAATCTTGTCCGGTTCATCAAGAATTTGCACAGTGGATGCACCCTTTCAGCCAGCACCCCTCGATCAGCTGATGAAAGGCGCCGGTTGGCAAATATTCGAACTAACAGACCGTGCAGCCAATAAGCTGCCAGCTGTGTTCGGGTATACAATGAAGACAGAGGGAGATTCCTCAATCAACGCTTACAAATCTGTAATATTTTCTTCGTTCAGCCCGCAGGTTAAACGTAGAAAATATTACAGTGTATGGCCAGCTTTATAGCCACATCAGGATGAGCATTACCCTATCTACAAAGGCATACGGCAATATGCCATTGTCATCAATTTAAATATTTAATGAGCACTAACCTTGATTAAAGTACTAACACAACTTCAACCAAAATAGTGAAATGTCATATAATAACTAACTCACAGTACACATATGGATTACAACTAGCTTCTCTCCTCCCTGCTGGGCACCGGTCTGTTTCCACTCCGATCCCTGCTGCCTTCCCCCCGCTTGTGTCAGCAGAAGCAGCGGGGACACAGAGCAGATTCAGTTGCCAGCGCCCAGCAGGGAGAAGAGAAGCTGTCAGGAGTCCGAGTAGTGCGGTGCAGGAGAAGAGCTTGGCCTTGTGTGACAGGTGGAGCAGTCAGGTTGGAGAACGGAGCACAAACACTCATTGATCAGTACTGGTCGATTAGTAAGATGACTGTGTCTCCAGTTATGAATGAAAATATACAATAGATATAAGTGATGCTATACATCACTTCGAGTTAATTCATGATTGTGGACATAGTAACTGATACTCGGTATCTCCTCAGTTTATGAATGGACAGGAGCACTCATTATAGAGGCTTCCTGTTCATTCATAACAGGGGCTATAGAAAAAGAGATTTAGGACTCCGAGTCCTCAATGTCTGTTTCTATTTTAAAAAGGAAAATATCACGGGTCTGTTTAGAACCCCTGATATTTCCCCAAAGCTCCTAACAGTAAAGTAAAAAAATACAAATAATTTAACAAGCTTTGAAAAAAATCATTTCGGTTTCGACCTGATAAAGTTTTTAGTTTCGGTCTAAAAATGTAATTTCTGTGGATCCCTAATTACAACGCTAAATTATGTTAAATTCAGTACCACTTGTGTAAATATCATTATTGCGGTCCATATAAGAACCGCAAGCCCCCCCTCATCTCATATGGGTGGAACAGGCACAGGAAGTGAGGGGTCATAGAGTGAAATAAATACCTGAGAGAAATGTTAACCCTTCGGCTGTCTATTCAAATCAAAAGATAAAAACAGTTGGCTGGAGTTAGTCTTTAACATGACCCTGTAAGTTCCTCAAGGCAATAAAAGTGAAAGTACCCTGCAAATGAAAAAGAAGAATATTCACCTTTCTGGTGGGTGGTGAAACTTGAAATACCAGACGTGTTTATTCATATGATTTTACTCCATTCTTCAAATCAATCTGTAGTACAGCCATACTAACTGTCATGTTCCTCATTAGGTTGAAAGGATTGTGGACAAAAGAAAGAACAAAAAAGGAAAGTGGGAATACCTAATACGATGGAAAGGTTATGGGAGTAGTGAAGACACTTGGGAGCCTGAAAACCACCTGCTGCACTGTGAGGAGTTTATTGATGAATTTAATGGACTGCATCTAGGCAGAGACAGGCGAGCCAAAGCCGGAAAGCAGGCAGTGGCTTCGAAGCTTTTACGGGGGTCTACTGTGGACAAAATAGCTCACAGGTCACCTGACTCCGGCAGAGGACGAGGAGCCGCACAAAAACGGAGGAGAATACACTCGCTCCAAAAGCAGAAGAAGGTATGCACAGCCAGATATGCCCCAGGGGAAAGATCGACAAAGACTTTAACCTACAGAACTACTCCTAGCGGACTGCAGATAATGCCACTGATCAAACCCCTCGAGAACGGGGACCCTAATACTCACACAGAGGACACGCACTTTGAAAATGGCTCAGAACAGAGCAAAAATGACCTTGAGGAGGACAAAGGAAGACAAAGTCTACCAAGTGAGCTGGAGGTCTGTGACTCACCTATAGTCAATGGATTAGGTAGGTAACAATGTGGCTGTTTTGCACTATTAGAAATGTGTTCCTTTCAAAGTGATAATATCTCTGGAAAGGGAATCCCCTATGACCCCCATATACTTATTTTACCTGCGCTCTTTCACAGCTTCTTGCTCCCCTGCGATTGGATTGGTGTCAGCGACCCAGGGGAGCAGTGGCATCATTCCCCTGGCCATTTAATAGCAATCAGGTCTAGCAATTGGCTGCTAGGTCCTGGTGCCATCACAGTGAAGCAAGTCACATGCTCATTCATACCCAGAAGTACTGGGTAGTGTCACTGACTGCGAGGGAGCGCAGGTAAGATATATGGGGGTCGGATTTGATGAAACGAATAATGAAAGAAGAAACCCTACCTAAGAGCAAATTAATCCCTCCCTTACTAGTCCTGCTCCTCATACAATCACAGATCATTTTAGCTTTTCTAAAGCTGATGACTTTTTTAAAATTGAATTGAGTTGGAGAAGGGTTAAATCCTCTGGTGGATTTTTGTTACATAGTATTTGAGGTTGAATAAAGACATCAGTCCATCAAGTCCAACCTATTAGGATCTCATTCTAGGAGTACCTGTACCCCTGTATATTTTACGGTCCCTTATAGTTACATAGTATTTGAGGTTGAATAAAGACATCAGTCTGTGTCCCTGTTGAGGAGATTTCCCCTCACTTCCGGTTCTGGTAACTGCAAGGGCATTGATGAGACTTAAACCTCCCGTTTCCTTTTCTTTATGGACTGCCTATAGAAAATCCAGTAGATGTCAAGGGCCCCATCACTAGCCCCTCATGGATTAAAGAAATGTATATTACGAGGGGAGGCCAAGAAGTTCTTACCCTCACCATGATCTAGATGTGCTAGGGATCTGACATTTTGCAGGTTTATACAAAGTTGAATACCAAGCTGCTAGCTGTGATGTGTTGCTGCTAGCTGACATCATTGTTTGGGGGTTTGAAGCTGTTTCTTCAGATTTGCAAACAGCAAGAAGTCAGAAGGTGCCAGGTCAGGTGAGTAAGGTGGATGGGGCAGAGATTCATAGCCACAATCGCGAACAAAAGTGACAGTTTCTGCAGCTCGATGTGCAGGGGCATTGTCAGCTAGCAGCAACACATGGCTCGGCAGTCAACACATGGCCCGGCATGACACCTACTCCATTTCTCTTGGCTCTAACTATAATTCACCACGACCTACAAAAACAAAAACTGGCATGCATATTACTAAGATATCCACCTATAAACCTGCAAAATTTCAGATCCCTAGTACATCTAGGTCATGGTAAGGGTAAGAACTTATTGGCCTCCCCTCGTAAGTTCCTTTCAGAGAGGCAAATGGGATACTCTGCTCAAATCATTGCCTTTGTGTGGTCAATCTCTTCAATGGGAAAGCAGACCTACCTTAAAAGAACATACACAGGCTCTAGCCCTTCCCCTCTGCATATAAAATTAGGAAGAATTTTTACTGGTGTCATACTTATGTGTATGAAAACAAATATATTTATAATTTTACTTCCACTGTTCATGAAAAAAAAACTAAAATGTTTCTCAAAATTGATATCCTAGAGAATTTAAAGAAGGGGAAAAAAATAAAATAAAATTTTTTAGTTAAGAGACATGCCCTCTCAGAACTCATTTCAATTGTTGTTAGATGGATGCTGGTGGAGTGGCGGTAAGGTCTGTAGGTTCCTGGCTTCACCACCTCCCCAAACATTGCAAAGTCAAGAAAGAGAGTCACTCCTCCTCCATATTGAATCAAGTGCAAGGTTGAGATACCACAATCACAATGGCTGCAAATGTGTCTGGAAGTAAAAGCTCTGGTGTTATAATTGCTAATTGACATATGCAAAAATATGTTTTACTGTTTTTGCTAGGAAAGAATACTGAGGTAGAAAAGGCATAAAATGTTAAATGATACATTTTAGTTAAATAAGAACTCTGGGAAAATCGAGAACTTACCCTTGCAGTGCTGATACTCCCAAACTGCAAGGGTTGAGTGCTCACTTTGTGTAGAGGGCTTAAAAAAAGAAGATATATTCACCTGATCCTGGGTCCCCCCAGGCTGCTAGACTGGTCCCCGCAGCCTTTTCATCCCTGGGCTCCGGCAGTCTGAGGACCACTTGCGTCATCACATCTTATGTCGGTCCATTGACCTGCACAAGATGAGAGGACACAGAGACATTCGCTGCAGGACCAAGGATCAGGTGAGTATATCTGCTTTAGCCCCCCTTGTGAAAATTAGTACTTAAAGGAGAACTATGGGGGCTTTTCCCCATAGTTCTCCTTAGGGTAACAGGAGGACACAAACTAGCGTCCTCCCGTCACCCTAAGCTCAGTATACCGCAAGCTAAAGCTCGCGGTATACTGAGATGCCACAGTATACCGCAAGCTACTGCTCGCGGTATACTAAGACGCTGAAGCGGATCCCGACAATTATCTCTGGATCCGCCCAGCTGCGTGAGTGACAGCTGGCTCTGCCTATCTAGAGGCAGATCCAGCTGTACCCTCCCCCGTCCGATCCACCAGTCAGCGCTGGCGGATCGAAAACAGGGAGGGGGGAATCCAGCCCCTCCCCTGTCACGGCAGAGAGCTGTGACAGGATCGAGAGGTGAGCGAACGCCGGTATGTGTTCGCTCACCTCCCGATCTACTGAGCCGACCTGTGACAGTCTCATTGTCACAGGTCGGCTAGAACTATGAGGTGAGTGAAAAGCACTCACCTCATAGTTCTCCTTTAAACATTGCAGTGCCCAATGTGAGGGTAAGGTTTTTTGTTTTCTTTAACCTTCCTGGCGGTAATCCCGAGTGTGGCTCGGGGGTAAATTTTCCGCACCAAAAGCGGTAACCCCAAGCCGTACTCGGGCGTCTTCCGGGTTCCTTCCCTGCGTGCGCCGGCATTGCAGTGGGGCGGAACCGGCGAGAAATTCAAAAATAGAAAAGAAAAAATACTGAGATAACAAATATATATATAAGTTGGCCCAGGCCTTAAGAGTTCCCTTCACTGGAACTAAGGGGGCCAAGCCCAACCCCTGAAAAACAGCCCCTCCACCAAACTTTACACTTGACACAAGGCAGTCAGGCAAGTGCCGTTCTCCTGGCAACCGCCAAACCCAGACACGGCCAACAGATTGCCAGACAGAGAAGCGTGACTCGTCACTCCAGAGAACACATCCCCACTTCTCTAGAGTGCAGTGGCGGCGTGCTTTACACCACTGCATGCAATGCTTTGCATCGCAGTTGGTGATGTAAGGCTTGAATGCAGCTGCTCGGCCATGGAAACCCATTCCATGAAGCTCTCTACGCACTGTTGTTGTGCCAATCTGAAGGCCACACAAAGTTTGGAGGTCTGTAGCTATTCACTCTGCAGACAGTTGGCGACTTCTGCGCACTGTGCTCTTCAGCATGCGCTGACCACACTGTGTCATTTTACGTGGCCTACCACTTTGTGGCTGAGTTGCTGTTGTTCCCAGTTGCTTCCACTTTGTTATAATACCACTAACAGTTGACCGTGGAATATTTAGTAGTAAAGAAATTTCACGGAACACCTAAATACAATGATTCGAAGGGGTGCCCCAATACTTTTGGCAATATAGAGTGTGTATGTTTATGTGTATATATATATGTGTGTGTGTGTATGTATGTATATATGACAACATTTTTTGCCTTCTCTACCTCCCTACTAAGTATAGTGACATAAAAAAACCAATGGGTTATTCAGCCTGCTGGTATCCAGTTGAGAATTAAATATCTTTTTTAATGTGGACTCGCACTTTAAACGGCTGTAGCGCTTCAAAGAAATGGCTTTGGTTCTGAAGTGGGTCATTATGTAATAGATCCAGATATCCTAAGTGGTATCAGATCAGAGAATTGGTTTCAGTCTCTGTGAAATACCTAAAAATCAATGTTGTGCTAGTGCAGCTTTCACAGATTCTGTGTCAGAAGCTGATAGTAATCGCTGCTTGTTTTTCTACTTGTCAAGACATTTATTTAGGAAAGGAAGTTGTAAGCTCAAAGCATCTTAGGGTGATGTGTACAAGCCATAATGAAACATATATGAATAGCAGCCGCGTTTATTGTTTTGCGGTATTCTGAACAGTTTATCTGAAGTTCTTTTAATTCTGCTGAATGACCTATGGAAGGTTTATACTATAACCACCTTATTAAGGGCTTACTTGGAGCTAAGAATATGAGATGACGGGGACTTTAGGTCATACCATTGCTGGCCACATCAGTTGCCTGAACTCACGCTGATAACATGCTGTCTCCCAGCTCCTATGTTCTTCTTACAGGGCTCTGTTATAACACTACAACGAACACGGATCAGCTTGAGTTTAGGCCGATAGCTGAGCAGAACTGTCATATCACAGATGACTTTTGACACCTTGTGTCATCAGATTGAATAAGTTGAACTAAATAAAAGCTAAGATGTAAATCTTTCCTATGTAAGCATGTTCATGTTTATTTTGAAGCTAAACTCCAGGTTAAATACACAGATAAAATACATTTGTTGGGGGAGCTGTTTTACCTGCTAAAGGATTTGTATCTCTGTCCATTCAGTTCTGAGATTCATATACACTGAGTGGCCAGTTTATTATGACCACCTGACGTTTGTAGGCTAATTAGCTATAATTTCGCACTTAAGTTGCTAGAGGGCCAGACCATTATAAATAGGAAAGCAGCTTGTTTACCACCACAGTAGAAGTTATTTTTTTCTGAAGATATGGGTAAACAACGCGATTTAACAGCCTTTGAACGTGGGATGATTGTTGGCGCTCGGAGCCATGGACCGAGTATCAGCAAAACAGCAGAATTAGTTAAATGTTCAAGAGGGGCTCATTGTTAAAGTGTTTAAAGACTGGACTGTCAGCTGAAAATCTGGGTCTGAACGTGCGAATTGTGACCGTCAGCGACTAGTCAATGTTAGGGCAGAACGGAGAGTGGCAAGACTGGTACAAGACAACAGAAGGCAACAGTGCAGTGTCAGATTCCTCGCATCACCTTTCAACATCTCGTGGAGTCACGAGGCGCCCAACTAAGTCATCTCGTGGAGTTATCTCGTGGCCCAATGAAGTACTGATAGGGTGGTCATAATAATCTGGCCACTCAGTGTGGGTCTTTCACACAACACAACCTTGTCTAGCAGGGCCACAGACAAGATTTTTCACTTCTGTGGTTAAGTATCACACCTATAGATCTTGTCTCTTCCCCAGCCTGTGATTGGACAGTGCATGGAGAAGCAGCAGACTGAAGAGCTCAGCGGATTGAAACTACAGCTCAGTTGATAGGTTGCTATTGCTAATAATGTATTATTGAGATGCATTTATATGTGTGTTTTATATCTGCCTGGAGTTCAGCTTTAAAGTGTATGGATAGCCAAAGGCAAAAATGTTTTTGGATAATGTAGGCAAGAGTTGACATCCCTGTCATTTATTTGTTTGCTGTCTGTATGTCATTGGAGTCCTGAAGACCCAACGGTAAGTGAGAGTAAATCTCTTGAAAGTGAGGGGAATTCCCTTCTTAGAGGGTGGTCCCCAGACCAAGTGTCCCCATTAGAGTTACCCTCGCCTCCTGTTCTTGTAACAACTGTTAAGTGTTCTATTTCCCATCACTTTGTCTCAGTGACAGTGGTCTATCTAAAACTAAAACAAAAGGCTTGGGCTATGCATACACTTAAAGACTATTCTGTTTGTGGCATATGCTCGATTGTGACTAGAGTTTTACACGCCAATGCCATCCAGTTCTGATAAACTAGTTTTGCACAGTTATTGGCAAGTTGGGTCATGTTCTAGCTCTTTTGTGTCTCTCTGTTGCTCAGGTCATTATAAATTCTCAGTGGTATTCTGTGTGCAACTCCAAATGCTGCAGTTATTACAAAGTCAAATGGTCGTGTTACACTGCCATCTAACATGCTGTCTGTGGAGTACACCATTTGATGGGGAGTCCAGGGAAACTGACAAACACCAATTCTATCACTTTGTGGAAGAGGGAGGAAAGATTGACTATCTCAGGGAAGTCTCCGAATTGGAGGCTCTGAATGATATTAGTAGGTGGGTCAACCCACTAGCAAACACACAAACCTGAAATTAGTTTTTAGGCAAATTGTCCTTAAAATTGGAATTCACAAACCATGGTATACCATGTTGTCAAGGAAGGAAGGATGGATGGATTTGTTCTGGAGGTGCCTTAAAGGATAATTAGAGCCTCCTGTTTTATTTGGCAAGTAGATCTATGCAAAAACATTAAACAAGAAAAGTTTACGAAAGGGTTAAAACGTACCTTTGTCTCCGCAGCGCGCTCCCATCCAAAGATCTGAAGATTCTTGGCTGGCCGCAAAGGATCATGGGGCGGGCGCATGCGCAGTTCAGATCTTTGGCCCGGGAGAAGAGGAGAGACGCAGGGTAAGTTAATGCAGGCAGCCCAGTAGTGTGCACCCGCACAGGCTCCGTGGGACAGGAAGACAGAGGAGTCAGCGCTGATTCAGAGACCGGCACCAGCGCGGGAGGGACTGCTGAAAACTACTCTAAAGAAGACGATGATTGGATCAAGAAGCATCATTTAAGGTAAGTCCTTACACTAGCATGGGAGGATTTTGCCATTAATGCCACTTTAAGGAGCTTGGTCATTGTACAGGACAAGGAGTGGGCCCTCTGCTAATTGTTAGATATGCATGACCTCCAGCTAAAATGTATGAACTTTTGTTCAAATCATGGCACGTAAAAAGAAAAAATGTATGCACACCCAGTTTCCACTGGTGTTTGTAATCTTTGTATTAACGTTCTTGTGATGATCTTCTGCTTTTTTTTAATAAAGTTTGTTCTTAATATTCAAAGGAGACTCATTGACAAATGGAGGATTGACTCCACACAGCCCAGTCAAGCGGAAACTAGACCTGGACAAAGATTATGTGTTCGATAAGAGACTAAGGTACAGCATCCGGCAGAATGAAAGCAACTGCCGTTTCCGTGATATTGTTGTAAGGAAAGAAGATGGCTTCACTCACATACTGCTCTCGAGTCAGACGTCGGACAACAACGCCTTGACGCCTGATGTAAGAACCACACCCTTACAAAAATCATAAATATATACCATGTGCTCATACAGTGTTTTCAGATATATGTATTATTTAATGTTACTGTTGAATTTCTGCTTAATTGTTATTTGATTATAGCATTGTATGGGAGGGATTAGCCTTAAAGGCAAACAATAATCACTTATGGTCAATTTTATTTTACTTTTCTTTGTAAGCTTACAAGTTTAAAGGTTTATAAACAGTTTTTTATTTTTTCATTATTTGAGTTTTAAAAAAAAGTAAACTTTAAAGACTGAAGATTATAAAATCTTTATTTTACAAATATTGTTTACTGCAGGGTGTATACAGGAAACTGTTTACACAGCATCTTGGTTTTGGTAGCAAGATATCCTTGACTCGACCATGAGCAAACCATGTGAGGATAGACAATGTTACTTAGGCATAGTCCTTGCAAATCCTATTTTTGTTTTTAATTCTAGTTAAAAAATCTTTACATATACCAATAACAAATGAAATTGAGAATAGGGAAGAAAAATGAATAAAGGTGCAATACAATTGAGGCGCAATAACCACTATGTCTATGAAGGTTCTCATGTATCCAGGCTAGTAGTAAGCAGTCACATTCAACTGGACTTGTTCTGTAGTGTTGAAGACATTTCATAGCTTTTCCAAGCCACTTCTTCAGTTGCAATGAATGTCAGGCAGATATCCTATCATTTATATTGAAAAAGGTAGCACAGACACCATAATTCAATCAGCATGGAATTTCTAGATGTTGAATGTCCAAGAATAGTATGGGAGGTGTAAAAGTTGTGGAATCACCCTTTTCTAGCTACATAATCCCATCCTTGGTGGAATGCAGATTTCCTGAGACCAGCTTTTATTGTTTTTACTGAATTTTATATAGATGTACACATACATTTATACAGGGTATTCAATATAAAGTATGTATTATAGTATAATGAACAATAAAGTAGTCAATATTTGTCCAAATAATTATGGAAGTTAGAAGCTATCAATTAAATGTTGGGGGAAAGGAATATGGAAGGGGGGTAACAAGGCGCGATAATCTCTTGTGGGAATACCAGTTATTGATACTGAAATATACAAATGTATAGTAATTACAACAATGTTTTTTTTTAAAATACATATAATACAACAAAGTAAGAGGCTAAAATAGTATATTTAAGGGGGGGATTATTAAAAATAATTTTCCATATTCAAGCCAGGAACTCCATATTTTGTAAATACACCAGTATTATTTTTTGGATATAGTATATTTTTCCAGTTTAATGTAATCAGACATTTGTTTTTTTCTGTTCTTTGAGTGTGGGTAGTTTGTCAGATCTCCAAAATTTGGGTATCCGTAATGTTGCCACTGTCAAAGCTGAATTAAAAGCAAATTGATTTTACTAAGATAATTTATTAACTCAATATAATAAAATACAACTCCAACAGGGAAAGTTAGAACCTCTCATAGTGAAATCCCTTGCAGATGTGCAGAACCAGAACTCAAAAGTCTCTTTCACTAAGTATCTGGAATGTCAATATAAAATAATGCATAGATGGTATTTAGTTATGGTGGATGTATCTTAATATGATCCATAGACCTCCCTGTTTTGTTGGAGGGTATTTCACGCCAGGGAACCTAAAAGCATACTGTATATGGTTCACTTGCTCTAAGCCTAAAATATTTTGAAACAATGTTTAAAATATATTCCAGACCTTAAAAAATATGTGCTTATTATTGATAAAAGCCTTTTTCCATGTTATGAATAAGGAAAGAATGTTCTAGAAAATAATTGTAATTAAATTTATTTTATGGGAAATGCAAAAATGAGGTGCTAAAACATGCAGCTTAAAATTCCCAGGTTTACAGTAGCAGATTCAGAAATTACGGTAGACAAATTTTGTTGGTACCCATACAGCACATTGAAGCAATAATTAATTCCTCCTGAAAAGTGGTGAAAGTAAAAGCAATTGACTCAGGTATACCTGCATGGCTTTGGTATGTCCGAGTAAAGCAAAAAAAAAAAAAGTGTGAAAAGAGATAAATAGTTGCTTATTTTACAAGGATATTATAAAATTACCTACACAGACTTGTTGGTACCACTAGAAAAGATTATAAATAATTAGATCATAGTGATCTTTCCAACTAACTGTTTTCTACCATTAGTATTACATGTCTTCAATTTTGTAATCAGTCAGTCAACCTATTCAAATAGAGAAAATAAGTCACCAAGCAGCCTAATGTTCCTGTGACTACAGTTGCAAATATTATTAGGAAATTTAAGATGCATGGGACAGTAGCCAACCTCCCTGAGGAAAATCGGCCTCAGACTGAACATAATAGTATGACTGGTAGACAAAGAGCCAAGAAAAACTTCCAGAGATAAAACCTGAAATACAAGGTCAAGGTACATTAGTTTTGGTTACACCATGCTTAATTTTTTAGTGACAGTGGGTTCGAAAGAAGACTCCCGCTGTTGAAAGAAAAACATAAAAGAGTCAGTGTGCAGATTGCTAAAACACATATTGACCAGCCACAATGCTTCTGGGAGAATTCTTGAGGGCTGGTGCAGATTTGGACAATCCCTGGACACGTGCGATCGTGTGCGGTTGCTGCCCGGCCCCATTGATTTCAATGGGGTTACATCCGTGTGGCAATCACTGAAAAAAGGTACATGTACCTTTTTTAGCGAAACGCATCGCACGTTTTTTCAACCGCGATCGCACGGGTCGGAATCCTAGCGGGAGACCGTGCAATCTGCCTAGCGCGACGGGGGTGGCATTAGGAAATAATGGCACCGCCAGTGCGATCAGCGGTGGTGTGCGACTCCGTGACCGTGCGGCCATCGGTCACGGATCACCCAGGTGTGAACCTGGCCTCAGCTTCACCTCGTTTACTAAGCAAAGGAAAGGGAAAATTCCCTTGCAAAGTAAAAATGCCCTTCCAAAGTGAACACCTATTTGCAATTAGTAAATCAACCCCTTTAAGTCAGAAGACACTCCATATGTAGTATGCAAAATCTTGAGGCACCCCAGTCTAAAATGTAATGAATTTTAAAGGGGCAACCCCACGCAAAAATGGAAAAAAAGCAGGGGTTCCCCCTTTACATCGAAGTCCCACCGCAGCTGTGGCAGCATTGTGGAGGGCAGGCAGGAAAATTTTGAGGAAGCCAGAAGGCACCCCAGGGTGCGAACAGAAAAGTTGATCGGCAATTTTGAAAGCGTGCAAGGGATGTGAAAATGTAAAATTCCTTCCCCAGCCACTCTTCCTATTGGCATCAGTGCAGATCCAAAAGATTGCAGTGAAGTGTATGTTTATTCCAGTGTGGTGATTCTTTGGCATCATTAACCACTTCAAGACCAGGTGTTTAGACCCCCTTCCTGGCCAGGCCATTTTTCAGTATTCAGCGCTGCGGTCCTTTGAATGACATTTATTCCGTCATGCAACGCTGTACTGAAATACATTTTATACCATTTTTTGGGGATTGCTCTCAATCCGACGTTCGTGACGATATGTAACGTGTGCGGCGTAATGGGCGCAATCTTCTTTTTCGCACATATGCACACCCAATGCCTGTTTGCATGCGTGTATGTATGGGGGGGACTTTTTTTTTTTTTATGTTTTTTTTAACTTTTTTTATGTGTAACTAAATTTTTTGGGGGGAAACTTTAATTTTTTTTCCACTTAACTTTATTGCTATCCTATAGGGGGCTAAGAAACCCCCTTATGTGATAGCAAAAGAAGTGACTGGTCCTCTTTATGGAGACATCAGGGGTCTCCAAGACCCCTAATGTCACCTAGGACCCCCTTGAAGAAGCTGATGAAGCACAGATCTGCTTCATCAGCTTCTCTCCAGCATCTGAAGCTGGAGAGTGACACAAGAATGCGGAAGTGATGTAATATACTTCCGCATTCTGACAGCAGAGAGCGGACTGGAGGGAGTCCGTGTACCGATCTCCATCTGATCCCCTGTCAGAGTGGCACTATGCTGGTCCCGGGCTCGCACCGGGCACAGCGGAGCCCGTGACAGCGGAAGGGGTGGAGCCGCGGAGGGGGGCGCACGTAGCGGGACCTCATACAAGCGATCGCTTGTATGTTAACAGGCATCACTGCCTGTTTTAAAAATTCTGGCGTGGCTGAGTGGTCGTCTAAAGACGCCCGCTCGGATCTCTGAGAGCTGCCGGCCGTTTTTTTACAACGGCCGGCCGGGAAGTGGTTAAAGTGACATTAAGGTCAGATTTTTTTTTTCCCTCCCCCCTAAGTTAATGTCAGCACTTACCTTAAATGATGTCTCTTAATCCGATCTTCCTCTTCTTTCGTATCCTTTTCAGCCTTCTCTCCAGCGCTGCTGTGGGTCTCCGATCCAGCGCTGACTCCTCTGTCCTTGCTGGCACTTCCTGTCCCACGGTGTCTGCATGCGGGTGCACGTGTCCATATACTTACCTTGTGTCTCTCCTCGTCTCCCGGCCGAAAATATGAACTGCGCCCGCCCCAAGATGCTTTGCGGCCGCCCGAGAAATCTCACATTTTCGGACGGGAACATGCGAGGAAGACACAGGTAAGTTTAAACCGCTTTTTTGTTTTTGTTTTTTACACTTTTTGCATATATCTACTGCTTACTGGAGGGTTTAATAGCCCTTTAATGCCTAAGAGGATCAGAAAGTAGAAAACAATTACCGTATATACTCAATTGTTATTCCTGGACTCTAAGTAAGACTGGAAGTAAACAATGCCCCCCCCCAAAAAAAATCCCCTTTAAATGTTGCATATATTTGTCACATCTGTGGTTTTACCTTTCATTAAATTATTCCTTTTGTTTATATTTCACGTTTTGATTTTGGGGGGTTTTCTTTGTAGAAATGTATGGTGCAAAATCTGTTGTGCAATTTCAACAACAGGTTTTCAGTTTACGCAAACCCATTTAAATTGGATATCGATTTCAGGCCGAACATCTCTCACCATACCTGATTGACAAAAAAGTTTTAAACAAAAAAAGCAAAACATCTGC